GAAGAGTAATTTTAGTCAATTTTGATTTATTTGGTAAAATCATGAATAGTGGTCAACAAGTAAGAATTAATCTTTAAGTGACACTTGTCACTTTCATTAAATGCTAAACTATCCTTTTGTTTCCTCAACACTCATCCAAATGATATCCTCTAATTATCTCTTAACACCTGCTAAAATAAATTCGGTATCCAGCACTTAACCTAATTGATCGAATTTTACCGAACTTTCCGCACTAGTGGGTCCTACATCCGATATACGCTCTTAATTTCTCAAAAACTAACCGATACTAGAAAAATCATTTTAAAACTATATTTACTCATCAAATTTATTTTTAAAATTTTTCGAATAAAGAAAATGTGAAAAAACGTGCAATTAAAAGAAAATAAAATCTAAAAATTAAGAAAAGTACGGGTCCTCACACAATCACGGCCATAGTACATAAACTTGGAATTGTTCCGGTACCGTGATTTGCATTTGAAGCAGCTCGCTGCTTGCACCCTTTTCTATTCCTCTCTGCATGGTCCTCTTCTAGGCTTGCATATTTTCGCTACTATATAAATTAGATTAGAACAGAATGCCCATCATACATCCATATATCAACAAACAATCAATTACCCAACATAAAGATTAGCCAAAACACTTGGAGATTTGGATATACAAAGGTAAAGAAATCGAAAATGCATACAAAGCTCACCTTTTGGTTCAGAGAAATAAGTCCAACTGCTTCTCGTGCACCTAAATGCAATTATAGTTCAGTCAACTTACATCCAAAAATAGTGACCCAACTACCAAAGAAAAATAGGGAAAAAAGATGAAACTTCAAGTGATTCTGTAGTTATCTCAGTTAAACTATCAACTTTTCAATGTTACCATTTATATTTTTTGTGCCACCTATTACATCCACAATTCCCTCTTATATAGAGCAAGCTTCATGTGGTGTAAAAGATGTTTGGATGTAATTCTTAACACAATGTTTTCTCCCAATAGGTGCTCAAATTTCTATCTGAATAGCTCGATAACATGTATTACATTAACTTCAAGCTTTAACCCAACTGGAACTTAGTAAATGATATTTTAAGTAAAATGTTAGAAAATAGGCCATACATTAAAAATTTTAGCTGGAAACAAAATGCTCACTAATAAGTCAAAAGTAGAGAATGACTCAGTCTTTTCGTAAACAAAAAAAAAAAGAATAAGGTTTCTCTTCAAAATCACCTATATGAATTCAAACTGAACTTTTCTATGTCTAAATGATCTAAAGCAGATAAAAGATCCACTATTAGCTATATTTCTACACAATGCACGAGCTGCTAATTTCACTCGGAATTGTGTTTATCCATACTCGCCCATGAATAGATGGGTATGAGTATCTTAAGTTTTTGCATATGGGTATAAATGGGTTACCCAATAATACCCATTTAATAAATGGATATTATTGGTTAACCCATCAAATCTAATTAACCCATTTAGAATTGTTTTCCCCCAAATCTCCTCTCTTCCCCCATCCGTTTTTTTTTTTCAGATTTTGCATTTTGTTATGATGTTAACTACTTTTATTTCATTATTATTATTATTTGTTGATTTTATTTTATCATTTTTTTCTCTTAATTTGTTAACTTATTCATTTTTTAGCATTACCAATTTATGATAAGTTTTAGTCTCTTTTCCTACCTTTCCAAAATGAAAATTTAAATTTATACATGAAAATAATATTAGGGGTTCAAAATTTTTGAATTAAGTTTTTATGTTAATTTTTATAGTACTTAATTCAAAATTTTATATTTTTATTATTCAATTATTAAATAGTATGTAATTTTGTGACATAAAGTATGGATAGGAAAAAAAATTGATAATTAGTCTTATTGAACATTATAAGTAAATATTTAAAACTAATGATGGGTGCAAAGAGTGGTATAAATTGATAACTTAGTTTGCAAAAATAAATTTAAATGAGTTTACAAAAAGTTAAAATAAATGGGTTATAAATGGATAATTGGGTTACCCAATTCATTTTTTGACTTACCCATTTATACCCATCTAATTAAATGAGTATAAATGGGTTGACTTACTTATACTCATTACCCATTTCACTCAACCCAAACCCGTCAAAGTGGCCCATTTTCACACCTCTAGTTGCATCTAACCTGTGAGCTTAAATTTTGTTCTCTTTATTCATGTTCTACTGTTATGAAAGAGCAAGTCTTACAAAACAGGGTAGATTTATCAAATTGTAAGATATTATCTATACTGACCAATTATTTTTCAATGAAATCAATCTCTAAACGGATATTTCAAATCTGTCCATCTGATCCATATTAAGGCATTCAAGAACTATTGACTTACAAGATTGCAATTTCTAGTCTACATTCTTTCCAGATGGGCAGATCATATTCCAAGAACCCAGATGCTAAAAGTAGTAAATAAAACAAAATACTTAACAAATCAACATGGGTAATCTGCTACCAACAAGTAAAAAGCAATGTTTTGAGGGAGACACAACGCTGATTTGGGCTGCAAATGAAGCATGCACTAATGGAATTACATTTAACCAATCAAAAACATCAAGCAACTTCTCTATTCGAGCTTTACTATAAACACAGATTTGTGAAGTGTGAATGTAATCAATCATACATGTAAATTCAAACATGCAAATAAACAAAACTCACGGCAGAAGGTGAAGCAAAAATCAAGAGTAACATTCTCACCACAAATGTCGAATGTCCGCAAAAATCTCCAGAAGCTGTAGTTCGCCCAAAAATTCTTTCGCCTAGCTAATCTGATGAGCAAGCTGTCTCAATAAATCCACGTAAAGATTGACAACATTCAAATTATGAGATTATTAATTTATTTATAATTTTGTCAATAAATCAAGCAAAAACTTATATAGGAATGCAACAAGAAAATGATGGTTTCTGATTTGAATGCTTTGTGGAGAACTGGAAGGCAGGATTGAACTTAATCAGAAGGGTGCCTGAAGTAGCAGACCAAGTAAGGAGGAGGGTTGCAGGTACTGGGAGAGTGAAGTGGAAGTAGAAGTGAAAGTGAAGCTGAGGTAGAGACTCAGCACACGATCAACGGCTGTAATTCAATCCATCAACATGCAAGCGCTAGAAAAGCAACAACTCAGCACCTACTAACTATGACCAGATTCAATAAAGCCCCCAAATTCATCCAAATTACAACGTAACCGGTTCACTCAACATTAGTCGTTGGCGGCATAAAACACACAAACACACAGAAGACTAAAGAAAGCCTACAGCAATTGCCACTGAAATTGTAAAAAATTACAACATAACTGGTCCTATCCTGACCAAATACCCCTCAAATTGATCAATATTACTACAATAACCAGACCAAAATCAATCCCAATTCTTACAGTACCCGAGTTTCATGCTTTTATATGTAGATAAAAAAAATTAATCTATTGTGTAGTTTGGAAATTTTTCTTTCTGAAGCAAAAGTTTTATTAGTGCTCTTGTTTAAGCTTACATAAATTAATGTGGCCAAATTGCATGTGTTTGAGCTATTTACACATTATATATCGATTATTAGAATCCTACATGCTTGTTATGTTTAAATTCTTTATTTGCAGTGATCGAAATATTTTTTTGAATGCTTATAATGGTTCAAGTCACACATTTCAACTTACATCATATTTTGTATAGTTTTTCATGTCAATAATTTCAACGTAATTTTCGCACTTATATTCCTGTTTCTTTACCTAAATTTTCTTAAGCCATACTTTTTGAGCGTTTAAAATACTTAATAAAAAGAAAATTAATTGCTCATAAAACAAGAAAAAGTATTGTTTTCTTGCATCTATTCAAGTAATAGAATCACTCACAGTCAAGAAAAATAATCACAACAAAGAAATATCTTTCCATTGATACTGAAGTACAAACGCCCTTAAGTTGGAGGGCAAAAATGTATATTTATAAATATTATGGCACCATTCCTGCGAATAACCCGCCTAGGGGTGAGCAAATGGTACAAAATCGGTAATTCAGTTATATGATTCGGTAAATTCAGTTATTAGACTTATAAAAATTTAAACTGCTTTCAAATTCGAATTGGAGATATACGAATTCATTTCATTTCCGAATTTGAATTCGAAAACGGTAATGAATTCGGTATTCATTAAAAAGAAAAATCTACTAAATCCTTTAATTGCAGTTTCCATTCTTATATAGCTTTTTTGGAAAAATTTGCAAATCACTTAATTGCTTTTAATAGTGAAAGCTAATACACTAATACATTGATTTGCAATTCATATGCATTCACTTAAACTACTTAGTTGTCTTGTCTATACTTAAAACCTTAAGATTAGTGAATAGAGAATATGAATTTTTATATTAAATATGTAATGTAATTTTAGCACACACTAATACTTGAAAGTTACAAGTTATGCATTCAAATATTCAATAATTCAAACATGAATGATGTACCAAATTACCAATATCTAAATTCTAATTACTAATTATGTTTATTGTTTAATATTAGTATTATATCTATACTTATTAATTATTATCTAATTCTAGTCATGTATAAAATAATAAGTATTATAGTTATGTTATGTGTTATTGTATATTTATGTTATTATAGTCATATAACAATTAACAAATACTAAAATAGTATATTGTACATCATTATATGTTATTATTATCATAAGTACATGATAATACCATATACTAACTATTATTAATAGCATTTATCTATATAATATACTAATATATTAGTAGTATATACTAATACTAAATAGTATTTATCTATATATTATATAATTTTATAAACTAATTTAGTATTCGAATGCTATAATATGGTATTCTATTTCATTTTACTGAATTTGAAATGCAAAATCGGTTATTACCAAATTCATAATCTCATTATCTATTTCATGCCATATTAAAATTCGTGAATTCGATAAATATCACTTTTGTACCAAATTACCAAATTTTAAATTATCAAATTGAATTTCAATTTGAGTATGAATTCGGTACGTTCTCACCCCTAAACCCGCGAGCTTAACCCGTTAACCCGCATAAGCAATCGGTGACACATTTTGCCGATAACGACCAACGGAGTAGGACAAGGAGCTCGAACAGTCCTCAAAATTTTCTGCTCCGACCCAACAGTCAACGCTCGGCTGCCTGAGACTCCCGCCGACCTCCGACTGCCAATCACACTCCTTCCGCTGACGCGGTTACTGAGATTTTCAGGTTTGCATCTCTGTTTCTTATCTCTCACAAGCGAAATTCATACTGTTAGTGCTCCTATTACTTTTATCTCAGTTTCTTCCTTCTGTTTTGCACGATTTAAGGCCACGCCCTAGATTGATTCGATATTAGTAACCTTTTTTTCTGTTTCTATTTGTTAAAATTTGCTAAATGAATTATGTTCTCTTGGATACGATTAGTATAAATTGTTAATTAAAATATTTGTGGGCTGTATTCTATTTTATTTACTTTTGCCGGTTTTTGTTTGTTTGCAAGAAATTAGGGGTTTTAATTGTGTTCTGATTTCCATATATGAATTAAAATTTGGTAGAATTTTGAGCAACGGTCTTTTATGTAGTCTAGTTTTAGTAATTCGTTGTTGTTAATCTGAAAGCTATTGTGATTTGGTATGGTTCAAAGCCCAAATTTTGAGCTACTTGATTTTAATTTTCAGGCTGTACATCCTCGATATTTCTTGGAAACTTGAATGTTTCTGAAATTTTATTGGACAATGTTCTTTTAACTTCTGTCATTGTACTCTTAGATTTTTTTTTTCTGCTTCTTTTTCTTTTTTCCCCCCTTTTTTCCCAGCAAAGATACCAACCATTACATTATAAGCTATTACTGGTTGATAGAACCTGCAATTAGGTTTCTTGGGATATATCCGCATTAAAGCTTACAAAAGTCTCTGTTTCGGGGAAGTTTTCACCTTGTAGATACAATGGAGGAGATCATAATGATTCTAGCATGCAGAAAACATGCAAATTGACTGAGACACAATGATTATCATTACTTTCAAATGTTAAGATATTTTTCCTTGGAATTTTTTAATTTAGGCATTTTGAAGTTAGTGTTCATTTGGCCCATTCTATCTGCACTCACATTGATGTATGTGGCTACTTTTTTGCATTTGTCCAGGATGTCATCAGGAGCTAGTCAACCAAAGAACATTTCCAAGGTATGTCTGGCATGTAATACGCTGATAATTATGATATTACTTAAGTTCCATATTCTGGTCTTATTTCTTTGGTAAAGAAACTATTAATGCCACAAATCATGAATATCCAATTCGGAAGGAGCAATTGATGCATAATTGAAAGTCAGTTGACAAGTATAAGGCTCAATATGTTGGAATGCTATATAAGTTTAGTACAAGATCTGTTATTTGTTTTCCCTTAAGTTTTCATGGTGTATCAGTGCTTGATACAGTTAATTGTAGCATTTCCACTTTCTCCATGTGTGGTTGTGAAGTATGTCAAGAGTTGTGTGTGATGTTTTTGTTCCATTGTTTTAATGTTTGTGTACCATATACTGTGTATTCATGGTTCATTTGTAGCTATTAGAAGCTTTTAACCGTGACTCTTTTCTTATAGTCTGAATCTTTGCTCTGTATCTAATCACTTTTAACTGATGCATTGTTGATTGGTTCCTTTCAGGTCCGTCTACAACCGGACCCATTTCTTAATGAACTCACCGACATGCTTGAGCGAAGCACAGAAAAGGGTTCTGTCTGGGTGACACTTAAATACTGTATGTCTTTTTTATTTTTGTATCCTTTTGTTTTGCCTGATACACCTCCTTTCTTTGCCAATATCTTGATTGAGTCTTCCCTGCTCTTCTCATGTTTGGTATCGTTTATAATTGTTTTGTTGCATGCTGTTCTAATCTTTTGATGCGCATTGAATTTAGAGCGTCTGACAAGTCTAAGCTCCAGAGGAATAAGATGAAGACTGCTGGGGAGAAAAATGAGTACAAGTGTCTTATTCGAGCTACAGATGGCAAATAGACTATATCTACTATGGTAAGCACAGTTACTTTTACCTGTTTTAATTTCAGATTTTGATTTATTTGTTGATTTTTCTTGCTTTTTCTTTTTTTGTGGTTTGATTGGTGGACCTCGAGTTTCCTCCCCATAATTGCCTCAAGGAATAAGAAGGGAAAATTGAATAAGAAGACACATTCTTTTATTGAAAGCTGCTGACTTCCATAATTGAAAAGTCGGTTTTACTACGAAGTTGAAACTAGGAAGTTTGTTGCATCCAAAAATATAAAAAGTGGAAATATACAATTAGTTAAGCTAATAGCGATTTTCTGAGTTCCTCGCTCTATGGTCTCTCAAGAAAGTAATGCAACTAACTAGCACTTTGGGAAGATGATGCTTTAAGGAGAGTGAGTTAATAATCTCTTCTGGTCTTGGAATCACAATAGCAAAGGTGGATTTGTCAAGTCTGAAATGGGGTATCTTTGTTGGTAATAAAATTTACTCGAGGGTCAATTAAATAATTGCATCAGAATGCATGTTTGATGAAACATTCTGTTTGGGATTTCTTTTGGTTTAGGTTCATGCTGGAGCTTAGGTCAATGGAAAGCGAGGCAAAATTATAATAGAAACATTTTTGAAACATTTTTGGCTGCCATATAACGTTATGTTCATGCTTACTCTTTATTAGCCATCACAGTCATTCTTCGTAAGGTTTAAAAGACAAACTGAGGACAGGAAGCAGGCAAAGGTGATGTTTGAAGCAGTGGAAGATCAGGTTAAGTTGGCCAAAAGTGATAGATAAAAGGACGCAATTGGATTGGCTTTATTTGAGGAATATCTGCTTATAATGTAGTAGAGGTTTGGAGGACTTCTGAGTTTTTCCAGCTTTGGCAGCTTTATGTGAACTGTAGTGGGGCTGGCATATTTCTTTTCTACTTGAAGCGGCAGATGATTATTGTTGGGTTTCCTTTTTTCCCTTCTGAAAGGAATAGTTTAGCAGTGTATGATTAGAGAACGTAGTTGAAGAGAAAAGAAAGGGCTGACAAATCATCGTGATGCAAGCTTCAGCGTTTGAGTGGATCATGTTGTGGAGAAGCCTGATAACTCTGCATCTATGGAAATCTGAATATCCTGGCAACTCCCATAAACAAGAATAGGCATTCTGAAAGCCCGCATGACTGCATTAAAGAAGAGGGAAAGAAAGGACAAGAGAAAGGCAGCAGATTCCGGTAAGAAGCAGGGGGTTTTGAAGAAGTGATCAGCTGCTGCTTTGCTGCTTTTCCTTTTTTTTGGCTGAAGCTTCTGCACAATTTTCATTTCCATATACCGGGTTTAGAAGTTATCTTCTTTTGGATAATTGGGCTGATAAATATGCTTATACAACTCGACAGTTAGAAATTAATCACAACTCTTCTGCAGCATGGCACTAGGGAAAGAGTTTTGCTTTATTTTGTCCTCTTTTACAGTTTTTACCTGAAATTTTACTTAAGTCTAGATGATGAATTATGATGAATGTTCGTTGAAATCCAAAGAAAGTTCAATATAGTTCTGTTTTATGTTGGGAATGCTAGAGATATTATTTTGTTTACTCCAATTACTAGTAGGCCTCTCTCAGACATTGAATGATATTTTCGTATGACAGTCCTCTGGCATTATGATGAGAGATTTTGTAATGTGACAGCGTCAGTTCAGATTGATCTACAATCTAGCATCTTACGTTCTCCCTATGGTTTTGGGTCTTATGGTTGAAATGGTTTTGAACTTTTTTATGACTTTTCCAAGGGACAGTCACAAAATTACTTTTATGCTGTTTTATAATCTGAAGGACAGAATTCCTTGGTTTATTACCTAATCAAACATAATCTGCTATATTTATCTATCTAAACATGTTAAGTTTAATGAAAGTGATATATATGACACAGAATTTTAAGCGGGTGTTGTTTAGTTCCGAAAGTAATTAACGGATTTTGTGTGTTGGATTTTTGTTGTTGACATAAAGAAAAAAGTTGCCCAGTAATGTTGAGTTGCCCTCCAATGTTGCCATACTAAAATAAAAGGTACCTAAGAGTTCGTTGAAGTCATCCTCGAATTCTTATGGACTAGCCGTGTGATGAATTTGACATACCCTTCAATAATTCCTTTGCATTAGTTAGCAAATATTTATGCTCATCCAAAAATAATTTTCGAGGCATTTTCCATCTTAACTCGTTTATAGACTAATGCTTCCACGGCATGCATGCAGTTAATCAGAGTTTGTATCTAGGTTGATGCGCTTCATCAATTTGCTAATGCTAGGCAATCAATCAAATTTTAGCAAAACTATGTCACAAACCAAAATGAGAAAATATGGAAATCAAGTTAAATAAAGTTTTGGATATGCTATCATGCTTTTTGACGTTACACAATGCATTTTATTTTTAGGTAACACTATTTGTCCCTTTGTTTCAAAATTTCGGTAGGGCCGTTAGGACAACTCCCATGTGGAGTAAAATAGATGTATTACTAACAGTGTAACAAAAAGCCCAAAACTGTTTAGAAATGTGATGGGTGCCTAAAAGTATAAGGGTTATGTTAGGTAGACACGCATCTTATATGGAAAGTAAATTAAGAGTAGTCTATACGCGGTTTGAGATAGAATTACGAAAAAACATTGCATGACTTACATTTACCCATTGTAATTCTCACTGCATCTGAAATGCAGGACCTGGGACAGATTGGAGTTGAGGTGTAGGAGCCAATTTTGCTTAGGATTGCGAGATTACTTTGGGGCCGCTGGTCTGTATTTTTCTTAAAATTTACGAATTACGAATAATTGATGGCCATTGAATTTAACTGGGTTCGCTTAATGACGTTGAACAAGAAATGAGCACGTAAACAAGAAACTATTTTGGAATTAAAATTTTGAGAGTACAAGAAAAAAAAGAGGATATTCTCACGCAAACAACTATTGTGGAAGGAGGTCAAACCCTGTCATATGCCAAAAGACTGCAGCCAATTTTCTTGATGCACCAAAGCTTGCGATCCCTTTGTCCCCCAGAAATCAAGGCTGGTCCAGCGGCCGATTGGAGAAGCAAAGAAAGGTGCGACATGCCCAAAACTATTTAGAAATGTGATGGGTGCCGAAAAGGAAAAGGGTTATGTTAAATAGACATGCATCTTATATGGAAAATCACAAAAATTGGAACTAATAAACTGAAGAACTACCTATCGCATATCAATGTACTTGATACTGATGAATTGCAGCCACGATAAAGATAGAAATCCTACACTACAGTAATGAGCTGGAAATGAAAGAAATAACTTTCACGTCTCAAATTTTACTTATGAAAGCATATACTTAAGAGTGTGTGTGTGTAAATATATAAATGTATATGTATATTGCATATATGGAATAAACCTTAAGCGAACCAGAAATTCTAAGGATGAAGATTCGAAAAGGAGTACTTACAATCATACATCCAGGATATCAATAGAGAGAGCGTTTATTTTCCCTCCGGAATGCTTTAGGCTTCATTGCAAGTACATGAAGTATGGACATTCCTTTGGGATTTTTTTTAAGAGCTAACTCCGGATATCTCTTAAGGACACGCAGAGCAGTATCTGTAAAAGAAATCTATGATCATTAGATTCTTTGGTTTAAAAGAATTTTATAGAGGCATTTGAGTTTTTTCAAAAAGTTTTTGTTATCTTAGAGGCAAGGATGGGAATTGGGGCAGGGAGTGCCACCACCCCATGTCCTGGAAATTAACCTATATTTTCTCCTCTAATTAAAAATTGAAAGATTTTTAAAAAAATGTTATTTATGAATTAGAAACTTTGCACAATAACTTCATAAGATTTTTATGTTGATTTCAAAATCCATGTGTATGGAATTACCTCTTCAAAGTAAATATTCAGGGTCCATAATGATCAGCTGTGAGACACTTGAGATTTGCGGAATGGGCTTTGTTGGCTATATTATGAAGTTGTAGCTAAATCCATAATTTCAAACACACACACGCACACATGTATATATAGAGTTTATCTGTACGGCGGCCAGGCTCACCATACGACCCCGAAGCAGTGATTGCCACAATGAGATCGGGGCCTGAAGTATCCGTGAAGGCATTGCAATGAACTTTGTCCTCCGCGTGAGGTCCGTGTAATGGATTAAAGAGATTAATACCAGCTGAAATAACTATTTATCCCTGTTAATTTAACCACTAGAACTTCCAGCATTATATATATAATTAACCACATCGCCACATTTCATTTCAGAGCCATATGTTGATAAAAACAGCCCATGTCACTCAGATAGTTAGTTTGATTGTAAAGCTACACAAATTTCTGCGCACTGTTTCATTATTGTTTAATTATCTATACAATATTAATGTACGAATATCCAAAATAATATGTTGGTCGGCTTAAGTAAGACCGAGCCTTTCTTCAAAGCTTGGCGTGTAATTTTGTGGGGTTCGAATTGAACCGAAGCTCACCTGTTTTCTTAATTGGTTGGACCGGTCGAGCTCAGATTAACTCAACCTCATTGACTGTGGTGGCCGGTCTAAAGAAATTTAAACCCTTTTTTCCCCTCATCATACTGACAGGCATAATATATTATTGTGCGTCGACAAAGTGTATATATTCGAGATTTGTGTGAAATACATCAAAAGATTTTGGAAACTAAAACTTCAGGGCTTCAATGTCTTCATCTAACATCACAATGTCGTGCGCCATCTCAAAATTTGTGATCGTTTTCTCTTTGATCAGCCTTTCTTAGATTTATCTACGATAAGCAAGGTTCATAGTTACACTAATTTATTCCTCGTACTACATTCTCGAAAATACTTCAATTGTAACATGGTTAAGGAATGATCTCTTGAGTGTTGCAGGGTAAAGCTTTGCATTAGGTTTTACTGTAAGAGAATTCCAAAAACAAAAAGTACTCTCAGACGGTTATTTGGTAGAACGGTTATTTGGCGTATTTTGCACTGTTATTTTGTCCTAATTTTGGCTATTCACGGTGCTAAGAATTGGAATTTCACTCATATTCGATATTTGTGTGAATTGTAAGTGGTAGGCATGAAAAATGATCTCGCGGGGTAAATTTTCAGAAAACTTTTCGTCTCAGGGCGTGGCCACGCCTTAGAAGGTGGACGAAACCGAAAGCCGGACTGCGGTCCACGTGAACCGCGAGAAGCATGGGATAAAAACTCCAAAAGGCTAGCTTTTGTTGGAGGGAATTGGGCCAGACGTCTGGAGAGCTCCTGCGGCGGCTATAAAGAAAGGAAAAAGCGAGATTCAAGACATCACTACTTTTAGCTTTAGTTTCTTTTTCTACTTTTTGGTCAGACGCCGTCTTTTGCTTTTTCTTCGTTTTTCCTACTTCAGCAGCAATTACATTAGAAATTAGGAGGACATTTAGCTTTCGTCTTGTCTCTTTTCTGTCAGACGTTTTTGGGCTTCTCTTTTCTCTCTAGCCGCAATTAGGGAAAAAGATTCCCCTTGTGCGCGCGGCTCCATTGTGGACGCAAAATACGAAGAAACTGTTCCTTCATTGTTTCACCCTTCCAACTCTCCGACAATTAATTGAATGAACTCGATTAAATCACGCGGGATTGACATGATGAGGAGCGGCTAACTTTCTCCTCTACCCAAAGGTTGACGCGAAGGCGCGGTCCATAATATCTGTGAGATCTAATCGAATTTTCATTATTTCTCTCAATTTATTGCTATTCATGCATTTCCTGAATTAATTGTTCATGGGTATTTCATTAATTGAATATCAACGGCCGGGTATTTGATTTAATTTAATAGCCTACTGCCACGTTAATTGAATAGAATCCGTAATTGTTCATTTAGTTAACACATCGTGGCAACCACCATAATTGGTTTTATGATGGGGAAACGCAAGATCTAGCTTAAATAAACCCTCTTAGCGTGTTTATTGGTTAGGGTTGGGTTCTTCTAGTTTTAATGCAATTGGATAATTAAATTCCTACGGTCGTACCTAAGGTTGTTATCTGATTAGGGAAGCAGTCAATGGTCGTATCTTGACTGTCGGAAAGGTAAGGAAGACTGGTTTTCAGAGTTTATTGATAACTATAACCAACCTAGTGATGAATTGATGAAATATCTTTGCATCGATGATCATTTAATTGGACCGTGCCTGAGCAGTTAATCCTTTTGGTAGAATTTTATTAATTGCTATTTTTAGTGAATTGTGTTTTGTGAGTTAGTTTTGAATTTTGTTTGTTTTATTTTTATTTTTATTTTTATTTGCCTCCCATTGAAAGTCCCCTAATTTCGTTCTGCTAATTTGGAAAGAAATAATTTCCTACCCGCTCCCTGTGGAATCGACCCTACTTGCCATTGTAAGCAAAATTAATATTTTTATAGACAAATCTGGTATATCGGATCAAGCAAACTCTTCGGGAACAGGGTGAATCAAGTAACCCATTGCACACCTAGGGTCCCTGCTCCAGTACTTGGATTTGTTCCATAATTATTTAATTGAGGTGGTAATTAGGACTTTTTAGTAATTATTATTGCATAGGTTCAGCACCTGTCAATTTTTGGCGCCGTTGCCGGGGAGCTGGCGTTTGGATTATTTGG